AAATAGTTTTCTAATACACGAACCATTATTTTCAAGTCCTCCAATATTTCAACCAGTTTTTCACAACAGATTGGTTCCATCGAATGGTTTTTATGGCGATTTTAAATTTCCCACATTGAATCCAAATTCATGTTATGAAAATTCAAGTCTTTTCAGAGATAATTTAGAAATATCATCACGTGGAGAAGAAAATTCGGAAAACAATGTCGAAAACAAAACATCTTCGGATAAAGAAAAATCGTGTCAAAACGATGTTAAAAAGGCGCAAAATAATGCCGTGTCATTAGGCCATTACTACGGATCGAACAATTTGATACCGTGGGCATACAGTCCATTTTTCGTACCCGTCATATCGTATTTCGTTTCCAGAACTCCTGGACAATATTTAGGAAGGAGTCCATCAAACGTTCGATTGATAACGGAAAAAGACACCCGGGATAAAGTTAATAAAAATCCCGACGTTTTATCATCGCGTCCCGATAAAAATCAAACGAAATCCAACGGAAAAGAAAAGGAAAAAGATGAAATTTTACTATCTGAAGAATCCGCCAAAGGTGATTGGTTGGAACGTAATAATAATAATAATAATATAAAAGATAGTTGTGATAATACATCTTTTCCATCCGATAATGAAATAAATAATTATATATTAAATAAAAATAATAATAATAATAATGATAATTGGACGACATTGAATTCTGTTAAAAGTACAATATTGGTAACGGAAAAAATTCAAAATGAATTTGAAGGTATTTTTAAAAAAAAAATTCATGTTTAAACGTTTTGTCTTTTATTAATAATAATAATAATTTAAATTATAGATAAAATAAATGTGGAAAATAATAATAATAATAATAATAATAAGGTTGAAAATATAAAATTTATACATGGCGGAAATGATGATGACGATGATGATGATGATGATGTCGTTACGCAACATGAAAATTTTTCTAACGATAACGTTTACATAAATAATTCATTTATGGTAACAAATGATTAAATTATTATCATTATTATTAATTAATATTTTATTAAATTTATGTATATATTTTATGTATTTTTAGGATAAAAATTCAACATCTAATAGTGATCTATCGGTTATATTTTCATCGAATTCTAAAAAAACGTTATTGTACGTTCCACAATTTGAAAATTCAGACGATTCGCCACAAGGTTCGATTTGAATTATATTAATTAATTTATTTATTTATTTATTTTTTTTTTTTTACTTTTATTTATTTATTTATTTTATTTATTTCCCACGACAGAAATAATAAATTTAAACGATGAATGTTTGGATGATTTTCGTGAAATTGTTACATTATCATCAACCGAAATAAAAAAAATAATTGAAAATGAAACAATGGAAAAATCTCAACAAGATATTATTATTATCGAAACGAAAGATGATAAAATAAAAAAGGAAAATGAAAATTTTGTTGGAAAATTCGATGATGTTTTGGGTAAATTGAGTGAAAATTACGATATGAAAGATGATGAAAATAAATTATTATTATTATTACAAAATGATAATGAAGATAATAAAGATAATTTAAATATAAATACATTAAGGAATTCCATCAAAGGTTTTATTTATTTTATTTATTTAAATAAATTTTCTTTTTTTTTTTTTTTATTTAAATAAAAAATTTTTATTAAAGAAATTGTAGATTCTGTTGATGTATTAACATCATCAAAAATGGTGACGAAAAAAATAGAAAAAACAATAACAAATTCTTCAAATTCTTGTTTGAAAACTAAAACCCAAACGTTACGTACTAATATTAATAATAATAATAATAATAATAATAATAATAAGGAAAAAGTATCGAGTGGTATTAATAAAAAATACGATAAAGGAAAAAATGATTTGAAATTTATTAATAATAAAAAAAAACATTATTGTTCCACGCCGGAAAATATGACCGGAAGTAAAATGACGACAATGCCAAAAACTCAAAAAATTACAATGCGATCGGTTTCAACGATTCGAGGTAAACATAAACACACAAATTATTTATTTTATTTATTTATTTATTAATTAATAATTTTCATTATTAATAAAACTTTCACTCTCTCTCTCTTTTATTTAAAGGTTGTGAAAATTATAAAAATAATTTAAATTTATCAAAAGAAAATTCAAATAAAAAAGAAAATGACAAATCAAATTCTCAACGTCATACAATATTAATCGAAAAAGAAAACAAATTAAATTCTAAATATAAAAGATGATGATGATGATGATGATGATGATAATGATGATGATGATGATGATGATGATGACAATGCAAAAGATAAATAAAAATTCCCCAAAAAAAAAAAAAAAAAAAATTTTTATATATATATATTTAAATTTGAGATAAATTTTTTCATACCATTTATTATAATTTTAATTATAAACATACACGATTATTATTATTATTATTATTATGTATTGATTTTTTATACATTGTGATTTCATGTTAATTATATTTATTATCATTATTATTATTATTATTAATAAATTTTTCTTCTCGTTATAAAAAAATATATATGCAATGAGTCAGTCCTTTAATAACGATATCGGCAATCATTTATATTTTTAAAAATTAATATATATTAAATAATTATAATAATAATAATAATAATAATAATAATTATAATCAGTCTTTTATAGTCCCAGTAAAACAAACAAAAAAATTTAAAATAAATAATTTCCTATACTTAATCGGCTAAGATTTATAATATCGACAGTCTTTGTCTTTGTTTATTTAATTTAAATAAAAAAAAACCGTTAGATTGATAAAATAAATCAATTTCATTTAATAAAAATAATCGTTTTGTTATTGGAATGATGTACACGATTACATCATTTATTGAAAAAAAAAAAAAAAAATGTATAAATAAATATATATATATATATATACATAACAAAATTTATTAAAAACGATTTTAACCTGAGCAAACGATTATAATAAAAATTATTTATTAAAATTATTTATTATTCTTTTCTCTAAGGCACGAAATATATTTAATTAATTTTTTTTTTGAAATCTAAACTCGAATCCCCTTTTGTAAATATCTTAAATAATAATAACGACAAGTAATTTCCGTTTGAAAAAAAAAAAAAAATCCGTTTCCGGTTCCGGTTTAACGTTTTTTTTTCTTATTTCCCTCACTGGATTTAGATTGCGGACTAAAACTTATTCTACTCGGAAGTCTTTCGTGAAAACGTAAATAATTTTTAAAATCATTTTCCGTCGATGATTCCATCATTTCCCCATTCCTGATACCATCTTCTTCGTTTTGTACTTGATGAGACCTTATGGAAAAAAAATCATCATTATTATTATTACTCTTTTGGAAAATTTTACGTATAATCGTACCTGTTATTTGTTTTCAGTCTTTCCGAATCGAATAAACTCTCTTTTTCATCATCCTTTGATGGGATTTGAATACTTTCGGAAAATATCGGATTAAAATTTAGTAAAACGACTCCACGACTCGCCATCTTGTTTACTTCGTCGCAATTGACACTTTCGACATCATCCACATTATCATTTCTACGGCTGAGAAGTAATAATAATAATAATATTTGTTGTTTTATTCTTCTTTCATCTAAAAAGAGAAAATCGTCCTTTACCTTTGTTCTGGATTACCATTATTAGCCCATTGGGAAGAAGTCGAAGGACAATTCGATCGATCATCATCATCATCCTTCTGGAAAGTACTTTCATCTCTTCTCTGAGATTTAAATAATTCTTCATTTTTATCATCGATTTCGTTGTTTCCGTTCGGATTTTCCCCAACGGAATCCGTTGAATTATTTTTATAAAAAAAAACGCAATCCTCCTCTCCAGACTCCTCCATTTTGTTTTTTTCTCTTTCATTATTCATAAATAATAAATTTTCTAAAAAAAATCCGATTTTTTTTTAAATGCGTCGGAAGCTTAGGGGTGTAGGGGGAGGGAAGGGGGGGGGGGAGAAGACAAATTTTCAATCATGGCAATCCGTTACTCACGAGATTTCGTATATTTCGATATTTCGTTAAGTAATAATTTTCTATCGCCGGCTTTCAATAATAATAATTGACGAAGATGATTGACGACGTGGATTCTCGCGAGTGCAACGGCTCTCATGTAATAAACACCCAAAGTGAGAGCCATTATGACGATTCCGACGATTCCAGGTCTCGTTAAACAATATAAAAAATTAAATATAATCGAATCCCGATTCGTTAATATTTCATACAGTATGCTTTCGTACATGTATTTTTCACCGCGAAAAGGTCCGCAATTTGAAGTTTTGACTCTGGAAGAAAAAAAATAAAATTATCCCTCGGGAAATTTCCAAATGTAAAAAATATATAAAAGGTATTAATCCTCCTTACGAAGTGATTATATATCCGTAAGCAATAAAAACGCTGAAAAATGAACAAAATGCAATGCTGAGGTAAACCGTGTGAGCGTGAGCCGCTTTCCAAGGTTTTAAAAAAGGTTTGCAATTGTATATGGCTCCCCATTTTTTTATGTAAAAAGTTATGAATAATTTCACGGTGATGATGAGGGATAAAACGGGACTGAAATACAATCCGACGTAAAATAATGTTTGATTGTAAATAAGGTTCATCGTGCTTCTTGCTATGTCGAATTCGGGACAACCGATTCCTTCCCACATTTTTCTGAAATTGGGGAGAAAAAAAAAAAAAAAAAAAAATTTTCCCGTAAATTCATTGTATTAATTAATTTATGTTTAAACATGAATACAAAAACCTTACATGAAAATCCTAAATCTTATGAATTCCGATAGTGCCGTACCTATCAGACCGAAAATAAAATCTAAAAGTACGAGCCTGTACATGTCTTGACCTAAAATTGTTTCCCAACATTCTGATTCTGAGGAACGATTTAATCGAAATGCTACGACCACAGCTATGACGACAGCGTATAGGATAAACGTTCTTATTAACGTCATATATAGGGCTGTACTGGGTAGTTCAAATCCTTCGATGCTAGAAAAAAAATGGAATAATAATAATAATAATAATAATAATGAATCAAAGTTTAGGAATGATTTTTCCAAGGAAATGGAATCTTACTGAGCGATTAATGAAAATATTACGGGAGCAACAGCAATGACGATGGTCAATAACAACCACATCATCATTGTTGTTGCCGTATCGGCTGTTGTCATTTGTTGATCTAAATATGTCCACGAATACATTCCTCCAACGCCTAATAAAAACAGGAGAATTCCATTTAATGATAAACTAACGGCGGTGGTGTAAAAAGCGTGAGAACATGACTTTTTCCGTTTTGGCTGAGTCACTTCGTCCAAAAGTTCCTATAATCACAAAAAAGAACACAAAATGACCACGTGACCATGACCACGACAGAACCATTTATAAAATATTTATACCTTTATTTCAATGTAAATACTTTTAGATTTTAATTCTGCGGCTTGTCGCGTTGCTATACCAAAATCCCAACTGCAAAAAATTTTATTTGAAAAAGTATTATTTATTCCACCGGAAGTTTCGATGTAACATTTTCTATAGGAGACAGCGACACTAAAACATTATATACACATCGTCATTAGATAAATAGACATTTTTTTTTACAAATTACAATAAAAATGTTTCTTCTTCCTGATATACCTGATAAAAAGAAATAAGAATATGAGAACGTAAGATACTGCAGAAGTAAAAAAATACGAAGCTGGAATATTAAAATTGTAGCCTTCGAATAATTTCAAAGATGAGTTGGTGTAATATCCATAAAAAAGTATCGTGTTAGCCAGAAAACCCTAAATAATCAAATAAAATCATTTCCGGTTAAAATATTAACAAAACCGGATGTAAGTTAAATAATTAATTAATTACTTCTCCTGTGAATATATTGCCCAAACGAAATTCGCCATTGTCCTTATAAGGATCACTTCGCACCATTATTATCGCCAAGGATTTTACACGTTCGTTTCTAACCGAAAATGATTCATTTATATTTTGTGTTAAATTATTATTATCAATATTTACATATTGTGTGAATCGAAAAAGGAGTTGTGGTATCATTATGAAAAATAAACTGAAAATAAAAATTGAAATAATTTAAACGATTAATGGGTTGTAAAATATTTTAAAGCGTTTTTAACAAAATTGCCAAATAATAATAATAATAATAATTACATAATTGTGATAATATTGATATTAAAATGATAATAATAATAAATAATGAAAAGTGAGAAAAAAAAAAACTAACATTAAAAAAAAAATGCATGCATTTAGTAAGAACAATTTACGAAGAAATTTAAAATAACTTGCAACACTGCTTCCGAAATGTCCTTCGATAACTTTTAAACTCGAATACCAAAGTTCGAAATTTTTAAGAAAATTTTTTATAGAATTCAAAATCTGAAATTAAAAAAAAAATAAAATGATTTTAAATCGAAAAAAAATTAATAAATCATTTTTTTGTTTCATTCAAACAGTACCTTATTGAAAAAAAAACTGATTTTGTATTTTAACCTTTTAGAAAAACTTATTGCTTTCTTATCACAACTAATCGAACTGTTTAATTTTTTTTTTATCGATCGTTTTATTGTTAAACTTTCCGTCATAACTCTCAAGCTTTCCCTGCAACAATTTTTTTTTTAATTTTATGATAATTTTAATATAATGAATAGATTTTTTTTTTTTTTAAACTTACATTCTGTCATTATTAGACATAAGATTGTTTTCTAATAAGGGCTGATTTTGTTCTAAATGTCTAATTATTTCATCAGCCCTTTCCTCAATCAATGAACTTGATGATTCCATAATATAATCAACATCATTGCCAATAGTGCTACATGAAATTCTTCCAGTAACTGGAAAAAAAAAAAAAATATGATTAAAAATTTTTTTTAAATTTATAACCTTCCATTAAAAAAAAAAAATTTATATGATTAAAATTTTTTTTTTGTCTGTAATTTTACCACTGTTAAGCGAATGGAATGAATATCCAGGTGGTTTTTTAGATAAAACAACCCAGTTTTTTTGTAGACTTCTGCTTTGACGCTTGGTAAAGGCAAAATCAGACATAAGTTTATTTGCTTGTTCATCTTTTCCCCCATTTGGTATATTGTCTTGCATTTCATGAATAAATAACCAAAAATAATAAAACCTACAAAAAATTTGAGCAAATGAAAAATTATAATAATTAAATAAAATAAAACATATTGTGAGAATTTTACCAGTCTCAAAAAAGTCTGTTTTCTGCACAGTCCTTTGACACAATAAAAAATTTTTTTTTTTTTTTAAATTTTATGCACACACCACATTAAATAAAACAAGTAATAATAAAAATATTGCCGAACGTTGATAATTTCACAAAAACAAATCAAAGGTCAACGACCCATTAAAAATTAATTAAAATAAACATTTTTTTTTCTTTTTTTAACAGTAACGTATATTGAATAATTGATTTAAAAGTTTTAGGAATGTGAAAAAGCGTAACGTACTGATTCACACGCTCTTACAGTCATATGAATTATACAAATTTGCAAACAGGTTTGATAACGAATTATTTTATCAAATATAACCAACTGTGTACTGTTTACCCTTAAGGGTATCGAGTATAATTAATTTATATTACTTGAAATTGGCACAATGGTAAATAATTATAAAAATATAATTAATTAAAATACGCGATAATTTAAAAAGTTTTATTAATAATTTATTATTTAGTCATTTTCAGGGAGATGTGTAAAATTAAAAAAAAAAAAAAAAAAAAAAAAAAACTTTTGGTCGTAAATGATTTAGTAAAAAAAGGTTTTAAGTTTTCAAACGTGGTAAAATGTTAAGTTGGCCAACTGTAGACAACAAATGTCGACTGTACTAATGTTTTGTTATTGTGTCGATTTTAAATATAATTTAAACAAAAATGAATTTGAGTGTTAACAATCCGCATAAAAATGGATTATTATTCGCTGGATTTAATCAAGATCAAGGTAAAAAAAAAAACGATATAATCTTTGTGATGTATTTTCGTCTGTTGTTGCTTTCTGTTGAAGATTTAGAAAAAAGTTTTGCGGTAAGAAATGTTAAATTACTGCATCGGCTTTTTTTTTTTTTTTTTTTAAGGATGTTTTATTATTTAAGAAATTATTCAACGAATATAATTTTAAAATAAAATTCTTTATTATATCATAATTAATAATTATTATTTTTAATTTAAAATATGCTTTAAAATTACACATCACTCGTTTTTTCTTTTCTTTTTTTTTACTTTATAAACATGGTATTCATTTATGAAAACATTTTGAAGGTAAATAAACAGCTGTTAAGGTATCATTCATTTAATAGAAAGAGTTAAAATTTTTTTTTTTTTAGGGTGCTTTGCTTGCGGTATGGAAAATGGCTTTCGCGTATATAATTGCGATCCATTAAAAGAAAAAGAACGACAGGATTTTGTCGATGGAGGGTTAAGTTATGTTGAAATGCTATTTCGTTGCAATTATTTAGCCTTAGTAGGTGGAGGTCCCTGTCCCAAATATCCTCCCAATAGAGTAATGGTTTGGGATGACCTTAAAAAGCAAACTGTCATTGCCTTAGAATTTAATGCTCCTGTTAAGGCAGTTCGTTTAAGAAGAGATAGAATTGTTGTAGTATTAGAAGGTGTCATTAAAGTTTACACATTTACACAACATCCTCAACAGCTTCACGTTTTCGAAACAAATTCAAATCCTAAAGGTGAGATTATGTAATTACCTATTTTACATAAAAATTATTTCAAATTTATATACTTACTGTGTGCGACTAATAAAATTTTAATTAATTTTTTGTTATTTGCATTGATTTTTTGTGCCTTTTTTAGGACTTTGTGTTTTATGCCCCAGTAGCATCAATTCATTACTAGCTTTTCCTAGTCGTAAAACTGGCCATGTGCAGTTAGTTGATTTAGCAAACACTGACAGACCTCCAATAGATATTCCTGCTCATGAATCACCTTTATCTGCAATTTCATTAAATCATGGGGGAACAAGAATAGCAACAGCTGGACAAAAGGTAACTTGAAGAATTTTTAGATAAAATTTTCCTGAAAAAAAAAGATAATTAAAATAAATAATAAATTATTCAAAAAAATTTTATTTATAACAGGGCACACTAATTAGGGTTTTTGATACATCAACAGGTTGTAAAATTACAGAACTGAGGAGAGGTGCAAATGCTGCAGATATTTATTGGTAAAAAAAAAATTAATGTTTTAAGTATTCGTTAATTCAAAAATTTCAAATAATTTTTTTTATCGAATAAAACTGTACCATAACAGAAATTTAATTTTTTTTTTTTTTTTTTGTATTTTTCAGCATTAATTTTAATCAAGATTCATCTCTTTTGTGTGTGTCATCTGATCATGGAACGATTCATGTATTCGGTGTTGAAGATTCAAAATTAAATAAACAATCAAGTTTAGCATCTGCCACATTCCTTCCCAAATATTTTAATAGCAAATGGAGTTTTTGTAGGTTTCAAGTTCCAGGAGGTCCCAAAAGTATTTGTGCATTCGGTCAAGACAATAAATCTGTCATAGGTATGTACTTGCCATTTGTTTGCCATATTTTTCTTCCCAAAATAAATGGTTATTGTAAAATAAAAATTTTTTTTTGTTTGTTTCAGTCGTTTGTTCCGATGGTAGTTTTTACAAATTTGTATTCGATAGCAAAGGAGAATGTTGTAGAGATGTAAGTGCTCAATTTTTGGACATGACAGATGATAAATTATCCTGATCACCCTTTTAAATTTGTTTTTTATTAAACTGGTTAATGTCATAGACTCTCCAATTCGAATGTTTATTTTATAATTTTAAAAAAATGAGTCACATGTCGATTAAAAAAAAAAAAATTCAATCAAATCGAATGATGAATGAATCAAATTTTAATAAAGCAAAAAAAAAAAAAAAATTGAATTAGTTTTTTTTTTTTTTTTCAAAGTCTGAACAAGCTTAATTAATTATATTTTTAGCTTTAATGCTTATATCCAAATATATTCAATGCTTGGAAAAATAAAAAATGAAATAAAATGAAATGAATGATTATGGTAGTCGATAACAAATTTTTATGTATTTTGTATTAATTTTTTTTTTTTTTTTTAATATTTGTTTTTTGAAATTCACATAAACAAATATTTATTTATTTATTTATTTAATTTAATTTAATTTTTGCATATTTAGAAATGACGAGGAAAAATATTTATTACATTATTAAAACAAGTCTAATTGTTATTTTGAAGAGAAATATTTATATAAAATGTACCACCTGAACACAATTTTATTTTAATATAAATATATATAATTTAAAATATTTAATTAAATGTTTTATCAACTGTGTGGCAAAAAGTAAATAAAATAAAATGAATAAAAAAAAAGAAAAATCAGTATTTAAAAATTTATAAATTATTTTTTTTTTAAAAAAAAAAAAAAACTTATTTGTTATATATTTTTTTGTTTTCTTTTATACTGTTTTTTTTTTTTTACAATAAAATTAAAAATGTTATTATTATTATTATTATTATTATTATTAAAGGAAATTATTATAAACTTTTTTTTTATTTGTTTTTTTTTTAATATTATTTATTTATATTTGTGAGAAGAAGTAATAAAAATGTGCCTCGGCATGACAAAAATTAATTTTTATAGTAATTTATTAATATTTAATATAAAGTCTGATAGTGTATTTAAAAATGATTAAAAAGAATTTTTTTTATTTTATTTTATTTTAATTTAAATGTTTTAATATTATCTGTAATATTATATATAAATAAATAAATAAATAAATAAAAGAAAAAAAATTACAAATTTTTCAATAGATTTTTTTTATTTTTTTTTTTCAAAAATAAACGAATCCGTTAAATAATTATGTCCATTTTAAAATAAATAAATAAATTATCCTATTTTTTATGAAATATTTAAAAAAATATATATTTTAAACAATTAATTTTAAATAATTATAAGTGTTCAACTTCTTGTTTCAAATTTTTTGTTTACATTTTATTAAATATGGAGGAAGTGCTAGAATTTGCTAGAAAGACTTTTTTTTCAGAAAAACGAATTTTCTAATACTTTTATTGAGATAAAAACATTTTATTAATAAATAATGATAATTAAACGCTTTCCCCCCCCCCTCATTCCACAATTTTCACTTTGACAAACTTCATATAAAAGGAATTTATAAATAATTTAATAGTTGTCGTCTTCCTACGGTCCTGATTATTACAGTTTTAAACTTTGTATTACTGTTACGTAAGACATTGATAAGCGTTAAAAAAAAAATAGGCAATGAAATTACTGAGAACAGCCTTAGTTACATCGTCAGACCAGTTTTATACTGAATTGTAGGTAACAATCATGGCTGTTAACGCTTTACGTTTATTTTTAACTAAAACCGTACAAACTCAATCTGGGAATAAAATATCTCGTGCTGTTTTTGTAAGGTTTGCAAGCACATGTAAGTTTTTTTTTAATTTTAAGTTTATTTTTATCAAAACTTTTTTTCTTTTATTAAAATGGTTTAACTGTTTAAATATGAAAGGAATAACCGGCGACCTATTCAAGGCTAAATAAAACTTGTTCGAGCAGTAGCGAATATTATAATAAAAATATTCAAGTTGAAAATTATTAAAAATAATTATTTTCAATAGTTTATCCTGAATATTTAAATTATCAGATAATGTTATAATTTAATTTTATGAATCAATCCTTGTCGTTATTAATTATTATTGATAAATTTAATTTTAGGTGATCAACAATATGAATTTATTAAAACCGAAGCTGTTGGAAAACAAAAATCTGTTGGCTTGATAACTCTCAATCGTCCAAAAGCATTGAATGCTTTATGTAAAGGACTCATTGATGATTTAAATGCCGCTTTGGACAAGTACGAAGAAGATGATCAGATTAAAGCTGTTGTTCTTACGGGAAGTGAAAAAGCCTTCGCTGCTGGTGCTGATATTAAAGAAATGAAAGATATGGTATTTTCTGATTGTGCTAAAGGAAAATTATTACAAAATTGGGCGAGAATAACTCAATTTAAAAAACCAACCATAGCTGCTGTCAATGGTTATGCTGTGAGTGATAAAAATTTTATCATTAAATTACATTTCTAAAATGCTGCTGTAATGTCGAGTTAAAAAAAAAAAAAAAAACTCTTATAAATTTGTATTTTTATTTATTTTCAGTTGGGAGGAGGATGTGAATTGGCCATGATGTGCGATATAATATATGCTGGTGCGAAAGCAAGATTTGGACAACCGGAAATCAAAATAGGTACCATTCCAGGAGTAGGTGGTACTCAAAGATTAACAAGAGCAGTGGGAAAATCGAATGCCATGGAAATGTGTTTGACAGGAGATCAAATTACAGCTGAAGATGCTAAAGCAATGGGTAAATTATTTTAAATAAATAATTATAAATAAAATATAAACAGAACTTTTAAAAAATAATTTTTTATTTTCAGGTTTGGTCAGTAAGATTTACCCTCCGGAAGAACTCGTGAACAAAGCGATAGAATTAGGCGATAAAATAGCAGATTGCTCTCCATTAGTTGTCTTAATGTGCAAAGAGGCTGTTAATAGAGCTTTTGAAACAACTTTACAAGAAGGATTATATTTTGAAAAGAGAATGTTCAATGCTACTTTTGCTACGCATGATCGTAAAGAAGGAATGACAGCATTTGTTGAAAAAAGACCACCAAATTTTAAAAATGAATAATAATTTTTTTGGTTTTATAATTATGTGTTCATCATCACTGCAGTAAAAAATTAAAGTATTAAAAAAAAAAAAAGAAAAGATTAATACATATAAAAATATTATTATCTGTCACGCATCTTTTATACAATATCGAGTGTTAAATAATATCTATTTTTTATATAAAAAAAAAAAAAAAAGAATTATTTATAAAAAATTGTTTTTGTATATATTTGACAAACATTTACTTTACAATTTTTATTATTTCCTTTCAAACTTATTAAAATAAATTAAAATATTTATCCTAATTTTAAAAATTAAATTAATTATTTTAATAATACATATGAAAATAAAAATCGTCTACCAGCAAAGTGCAACACATCATAATAATATCATATTAATTTTTTTTTATATATATTCGATTTACAATTAAATAAAAAGCAATTTTCCTAATAAAATTATTGGAATGAAATTACACCAAATTATTAATTTTTTATCATAAATATTTTTTTTTTTTTTTTTTCTCTAACTATTCATTTCATTTTTGACGGTGAAATATTTGTTTTTTTATTCGACACATTCGAAAAGTGTTTTTTTTTATTCTTCTGAGTCTTCAGATTCACTAAGGCTATCTTGATCATAATCATTATTCTCAAGCCCATCAGTCTCTGCCTCTATTAAGACTTCTATTGATATACTCACATTTAAAATCTAAAAAAATAGTAATTGTAAATATAATTAATGTTTGTTATATTTAATTAAATCCATATCCTTATGAATCGAATCCATGCCTATCTAGATTTTTATTGAAAATACTCACATTTAAAATCTGAAAATAAAAATTATAAAAAAAATTAGACATTTACATGTAAAAATTTGCACAAGTAATGCACAAACGTAAAAAAACAATTACATTTACAACAAAAAAAAAAAACCAACTTTTTTATTTATAAATATATTTATATGTAATAAAAATATAAGTACCATTGATCCGATCATTACTAAATACGGCAATCGAATTTTTGATTTCCATGCAAGACGCATTAAAAAAATTAAAGCTTTGTGAAAGGCAAAATAATTGTCAGAAATTAAATTAACAATAGGCATTCTATAACATCTTATTGGACTAATTAAGGTTGAGAACTGAATCAGATGTAAATACATAATATAAACATTTAATGCAAATATGTAGCATTACGTTAAATTAATGGTTCGTAACACCATTCATAAAAGCATTAAATTTTTTTAACGGATGCATTGATGACAAATTTTTATATCTCAAAGCATTTTCTTTTTTTTTTTTTTTTCCTACTATTTTAAGAACCATACAACAACACTATTTAATCAAAAAAATTTTTTTCCCTTTTGACGTGGCACCAGAATTCCGTGACACTTATCAGTATAATTTTTTTATTTTTTACTTTTTCGAAAGTATCTAAGTATTGAATTTATTATTAATTATTTTAATTATCAGTAATCAATCAGTTATTCATGAAGCATTTTAATTATTGTTTTAAAAATATTTTTAATAAATTAGTTACTTCAGAATCTGTTATAACTAAATTTTATTCCGCCATGGCAGCTAATAATTTGATTGCTATATGTCAAATGACTTCCACCAATGATAAGGAAAAAAATTTTCAAATTGTCGAATCTCTGGTGACCGAAGCTAAAAAAGCGAATGCAAAAATTGCATTTTTGCCCGAAGCATGCGATTTTGTCGGCTCTTCTAAAGCTGAAACCATTACTTTGGCTGAAACTCTGGATGGACCTTTGGTGGCCAAGTATAAAAATTTGGCGAAGGTCTCTTGAAAAAAAAAAAAAAAAAAAAAAATTTACACCCTCAATATTTAGCTTGTTGTAAAAATTAGTAATAAAGATTCGTGACTTTATAGAGTTTGAAAATTTGGATTTCGCTAGGGGGTATTCACGAGTCTTATACAAAGTCTAAATTATACAACACTCATTTAATGATTAACGACCAAGGAAATATTGTTGGTAAATACAGCAAGATACATTTATTTGATGTAGAAATCCCAGAACAAAATGTAAGATTAATGGAATCAAGTTATGTTGAAAAAGGGAAAAGTATAACTAATCCAATTTCAACTCCTGTTGGTAATGTTGGCCTGGCTATTTGTTATGACATGAGGTAAAAATTTTTAAAAAAAATTTTTTCTTTATTAACAAAATACAAAACTTCTTCTATATTCTTTTTCTTTTTTTTTTCTCAAAGATTTTCAGAATTGAGTATTGTATTAGCAAGACTAGGAGCTCAAATTTTAACATTTCCTTCGGCATTTACATTCGCTACGGGAGCCAGTCATTGGGAAACCATTTTAAAAGCTAGGGCTGTAGAAACTCAATGTTATGTTGTGGCAGCTGCACAAGTAGGATCTCACAATGATAAAAGAACATCATGGGGACATTCAATGGTGGTGAGTGCCATCAATTTAAACCATGATTGTTACTTTTTTTTCTTTCATTTTTAACTACATTCACTAGGTTGATCCATGGGGTAAAATAATTGCTCAATGTTCAGATGGTCCTGGAATCGCAGTTACATCCATTAACATAAATTATTTAGAAAAAGTTCGTTTGAGTATGCCTGTATGGAATCATAGAAGATATGATTTATATCCTTCAATGATTGCTTTAGGTCAACATCATTTTAATTCCGATAAGGATTTTTACACTTTTGGCCAAGTAAATTATATTATTTTTAAATTTTTTCATTTCCATCATTTTGAAATAGAATATTGTTTACAATAATTTTTTATACCCTTTTAGGTTAAAATAAGTAAAGATACAGTTTTTTACAAGACAAATTTATCATTTGCTTTTACGAATAAAAAATGCGTAGTTCCAGGTCATGTATTAGTTGCTCCAATTAGAGAAGTTAAATTATTTTCAGAATTGACATCTGAAGAAGTTGCAGATTTATTTCAGGTTTTAATTTTCTCTTTAATTTTCTTTCATTTCCTTCAAAAATTTAAATTTTTTTTTTCGATTTTAAGGTTACTCAAAAAGTAGCAAAAGTAATGAGTCAAATTCATAATACAGAATCATCGACAATTGTTGTTCAAGATGGTCCAGATGCTGGACAGACAATAAAACACGTTCACGTTCACATTTTACCCAGGTTTGATGAAAACCTCAGAATAATTAATTAATTCATTTATTTAAAATTAAATAAGAAAAAAAATTTTTTTTTTTAGAAAACCGTTAGATTTTGCAAGGAACGATGACATTTACACAGAACTCAGTAATCACGACAAGGGAGAAAATATAAAATGGAGGACCGAAGAAGAAATGGAAGTCGAAGCATGTAATATAAAAAAAGTCTTTGAATCCACAACGTAGATTATTTTTGGTTGGATTAACGATAATCCAAAAAACAAATAACAAATAGTATAATTTGATTTATTTAAATTAGTTCAAATTGAAACCTAAACTTAATTATAATTTATTTTTTTAATGGAAGCAAAAATTTTCTTTTTTTCACTAAACGACTTACTATAGTTTTCCTATATTAAATAAAGATCTGATTGAACCGAATAAGGGATGAGGAGAAGGGTGATGGAAGGGGGTGAAGGAAGGAGGGTGGGATACATACAAACAAACATTTTGAAATTTAATAAAAAAAATTTATAAAAAAAAAATTATATTCATAATGGTCGTTCGTTACATTATTAGAAAATAAAAAAAAAACTGAGTACAGAATAAATGAAGATTATTATTATTATTATTTTTTTTTTAATATATAAAAATAAATAAATAAATTTAAAATATATAAAAACATATTTTTTTTTTTATCAATCAATTACGGTTTACACATTTTATTTATTTATTTATTTATTTATTATTATTATTCGGAAAATTAAAAATAATTAAACTTATTCGAATGAATGAATAAAAAAACTTTCCATAATCATTATTATTATTATTTTTTTAATTTTATTCTCTTGTGATTTGCCGAAGGTTTTTTTAACATTATTTTTTATTAAATTAATAATAATAATAATAAATTACATAATAATAAAGATTTTTTAATTTTTTTTTTTTTTTTTTTATTATCATCATTTTTATTAATTTATCAGGTACAAAAATTTCTTATTAATATTATTATTATTATTATTAAAAACAGGCAAATCTTCTTCTTCTAATAAATTTTCACACGTGTAATAATAATACTGTTGTTATCATAATAATAATTATAAAAATAATTTTTTTAAATTTTAAATTATAATAATTTAATACATAAATTAATTAAACATTGATCACAATAAATAAAATGACAATCGGTAAAATTATTAAAAAACAATTTAGTAATAAATTATTTTCCATAAAAAATAAAATAAAATAAAAAATATAATAATAATAATAATAATAATAATAATAATAATAATAAATAATTCAAAGCAAAACATTTAAAACGACCTTTTTGCTTTATCTAAATTGTTTTTTTTTTTTTTTTTTTTTAAATTATTATTATTATTATTATTATCTCGATTGTTTGCTTTTTGTACGAAAATAATTAATTACTAAATAAATAAATAAAAACATAATTTTTAATAAATTTTTTTTTTCATTTTGTTTTTTTGCTTTGAATGTTGTTATAAACATTTTTCTCTCTCCGTCTCCTTCTTCCCCTTTCCCCTTCCCCCCACCCCACCCCCCCATTATTATAATTTAATTCATCCCCTTAATTATTAATAATAATGATAAAAACAAAAAATGAAAAAAATATCCTCTTGTATATATTTATATAAAAAAAATAATAAATAATAATAATAATAATAAATAAATAAATAAATACAAAAATACAATCGAATAATAATAATAATAATATGTACGAAATTAATTTCCCCCCCCCCTCAAAAAAAATAAAAAAAATTGATTTGAATAAAAAAATAATTCAAAAAATTTTCAACTTTTTCCCTTTTTTTCCTCCCCTCTCCCCTTTTCCCTCCTCCTCCTATCCTCTACGCTCCCTTTCTCCCCATCCCCACCACACCCGACCCCCCCCCAGTTTATTTCCCTACAAAAATAAAAAATAAAATAAAATAAAAATAATTGTTTGGGTAAACGTTATCGTTACCATGCAAAATCTCAAATTTTCAATTTTTTTTTTAAACAAATAATAATAATAATGATAAATACGAACGTCAAGTTGTTTTTTCAAATAAAACACGTATAAACACCATCATCATCATCATCATCATCATCATCATCACAATCATCACAACCATCATCGTCATCATCATCATCATCATCATCGTGAGAAAATTGTTTTTTTTTTTTTTTTTTTTGTTAAACGTTATAAACAATAAATTAAACAAACAAAGACAAAAATTAAAAAAGGAAAGAAAAGAAAAGAAAAGAAAAGAAAAAAATAAAATAAAATAAAGAGAAAGAGAAGAAACAATAATGATGATGATGACGACGACGACGACGATGATAATAATAATAATGATAATGATAATAAATAAACTATTTGCAAAAATCCTAATCTCGAAATCTCTCGAGTCACAAACACAAATTCTTTTACATGTATAAACATAAAAAAATTATTAATAATAATAATCATAATAATCATAATAATAATAGTAATAATAATAATAATAATATCTAAATCACATAATTAAATAAATATTTACAATCAATCCTTCGGCAAAACATCTAGAAAACAAAAAAAAAAAAAAAAAAAAAAAAAAAAAAAAATTTGTTGGTTGTTGATTGGTTGTTGAATCGACTTCTTGCAAACAACCAACTTTTCATAATTTTAACAACGAGATTCGTGAAAAAAAAAAAAAAAAAAAAAAAAAAAGTTGTTTGTAGCTCTTACATTTTTTTTTGTTTGTCTTTTCCTTGAAATTTTTTTTCTCTTCTTTTTTTTTGTTTGTTTGTTTGTTTTATATATAAACGTACGTAAAAAAATAAGTTATTATCATTATTAATTACATTGTTACAATTATTTAATAATAATTTTTTTTTTTTTTTTTTTTTTTTTGTTTCGTTTGTTTTGTACTTTTTTTTCAGTCTGTTTTTCCCCTATATGAGATTATCGAAATGCGCAGCAATCCTACTCATTCCTGAAAAAAAATTAAATTTTAATCCCTAATTAATCCTCCTTTAATCCCCAATTAATGGTAAAATCCCGAATCAATCAATCAATCAATCATCGAATTAAAAAAAAAAAAAAATCATACTTTTATTTTTTCCTTCATCGACTTTGTTGTTACTGTTATTGTTGTTGTTGTTATTATTATTATTATTACTTTGAGTTTTGCAATTTTCTATTTCTAAATGACCGGGAATGTTTTCGCCAGTGGTTGACGTTGCTTCAACTTCGTTTCGATAACCCCCGGATTCGAGTTGAAGCATTTTTTGCACGGGAGAAGCCAATTTCGCTGATGGCAATGGAAGTTCTGACGGATGAGGAACCGTTATGTTTTCCGTCGTGAATCCGTTTATGTCGTTCCAACAGGGAAACAACGAATCGCTTTGCCACAAATCGTACGAACGATGTTGTTTATTATTATTATCCGAACCGTTAACTGTATCCGTTTCCTTCATTTTCGAATTTCCGTTATTAAACGTTGGAATACGAAATCCAGCACCTGTTGTCGTTTCCGATCAAAAATCAAATGTTATAATATTATTATTATTATTATTATTATTATTATTATTATTATTATTAAACTTTTCGATAATGGCGACGTGCTACGTACTTTTGAGATCGACGTTTAAAGTTATAACTCTTTTCTGTGGACAATATTCATTGTTTTGTACGGTAACCGTTTCCGGTATGGCTGAGAGAAGAGACGTTAACGTCGGGTAACCGAATTGAGAAGGCAAACATGGTTTTTTGAATTTGTTTTGATAAAACGATTCGAAATTGTAGAGTCGAATCCTTCCCTTGTGATCGGAAAGTAATAAATACATTTGATTGGCAAAAACTGAAAGTAGCGTCAACTGAACATAAGTTTCTCCTCCTTTTTTGACGACTTTAACCGCCTGAAATAATTTTTTTCTCGATAATTTGATTGATTGTAATTCCAATTAAAAAAAAAAAAAAAAAGGTAATCAATTAACCGTCACCGACATTAACCGGTGTACTCACTTCGGGTATTTTATTGAGATCCGCATCCAAATCGATTTTATTTTGATATTGCTGAGTGTACGCTTTTACAAATTGATTGGCAGTTAATTTATCTTGATTGAGTAAAATGAATCTCACTCTAGGAATCAAAACGACCGGATCCGTGTTATGTATTAAAATAACGAGACGACCGTTACGAGAATCTTCGAGCTTTTTAAAAACAAACAACGATAAGTTCAATTATTATTATTATTATTATTATTATTATTATTATTATAATAAAAAAATGGGGCGTGTACCTTAACGTATTCTGGAATTTTCATTAAAACCTGTTCGAAAGTTTCGCAACCGCAATCACTTGGCGCGACCAAAGATTCATACTGGTAAAACTGATAAGCAAATTCAAGTCTGAAAAGTAACATGACGCCATCTTTTGCCGACAAAATTGAGCACACTCTTTCGGCGAAAACTTGCAACTTTTTGGCGGGAGTTAATATTAAATATTTTTCACCGCGACTGAAAAAAAAATTTATTTAGTTTTTTCTGTAACAAGTAATAATGTGCTTTTTAATAATAATAATAATAATAATAATAATAATAATATTAAATCTCGAATACACGTAATCAAGTCTTTTATTTATTTATACCTTGCATCCTCGTGAATTGTAACCGTTTCCGGTATCGATTCGAATAATTCGATTAATTTAAAACAACCGTAACTTGAAACTCGACACTGACGACCAAACTGTGAATGGTAAGCGGGAACAAATTTATTAAATTCCATAGAACAATTAGGAACTCGCTTTAACAATTCTACAACCTGTCGAAACATTATTTAATAAATAATAATACGAATTATATTTTTTTTGTAAGAAACCAACACACGAAATCTAATCGGAGTAGAAAATCCGAGTAAATTAAAAAAAAAAAAAAAAAAATTACCTCTTGAGCAAATTTTTTCGTTAATTCTAATTCTTCGGGAGTTTGTTCCCTTTTCGGAATCGATATTAATATTTTCCCATCTTCTTTATTTTCCATGACTATTGCAGATTGCGGTGCGCAATTGATTAAATCTTCTAATTCGCATAAACCGTAATACGTGGGATCCCAAGTTCTTTTTTTAAAAAAAAAAAAAAAAAGGAAAAGTTTTCAACACGTGAATGACACGATACGCAAGATAAACGACAGACGAACGAACAAACAAACAACAAACAAACAAACAAACAAACAAACCTTCCGAAAATTTTCTCATATTGCACACCAAAATCTTTGAGATCAATTTGACGATTCGTTTGATTTTTTAATATTCTAAGTAAATCAGTCGTAAATCTTCTTATTTGAGTTTTATGCGAAAGCGTGACTATTTTATACGTTCCGTTACCGATTACCTAGAAAGAACAAGGAAAACAAAAAATTATTATAACATTTTTACCCGAACCTGAATTATTCATTTCCCCCTTTTACACGACCTACTTGTAAAATATGCGGCATAGATTCTAACAAATCCAAAAGTTTTGTATAACCGTAATCTGAAACTCTACATTGTCTTCCGTACTTTCGATGATATGACGGTATGAACTGTGAAAATGGAAGCAAGCATTTCGGCGTGTCTTTTAATAAATCCAATAATTCTCTTGTAAAAACGGACATGGTTCCCACCAACATCGGACTAACGCACTTTACATTTTCTAGAAAAAAACATAAATAATAACAGCGCAATGCTTTTGTTTTTGCACGTGCGCACCCGCACACGTGCAAATATAAATAAAATTACCATCGTTTGGTTGAGATGTCGCCGTCGCCCATGTTAAATATTTAACGGAACCGTGACTTTGAGACATATCCACACCGGGAATACAGGATACTAAATGTTCCAACGGGACGCCCTTAAAATATTAAATTTAAATCGAGTTTATTTAACAAAAAAACAACTCGGGAAATTAAAACTTGACTGACAAAAAAAAAAAAAAAAAAAATTACCCCAACGTCTTCGGGTAGGGGACCAAATTGTGATTGATAACAATCCGCCAAACTCGGTAAAAATAATTTACCCCCGTGACTTTCCAACAGTGATAAAATTCTACTCGTTAATAATTTCAAACTAATATTTACAGATGGTAAAAGTGGTAGTTCGGAATCTGAAAGGGTTTTGTGTGAATGCAACTGACAATATGGAACTGTGGCTTCTTTTTTTTCCTTAAAAAAAAAAAAAAAAAAATACAACACGACACAAAAACATTAATAATAATAATAGAAGAAGAAGAAGAAAAAATTAAATTAAATAAAAAACTCAAACTCACTTGATTAGGATATGAACTGATTTGTGACCTGGTATTTGCGGTTATCATTCTACCGCCATCTTCTTCCGTTATAACACATACATCTTTCATTTTGTTCAATTCGGAAACGCTAACCGAATTTAAAAACCTAGATTTGAATAATTCTGTAAACCTGAATAAAGGAGTTTTATTTTGAGGAATTTCAGACAATAGTTGAGCTACCTGAGATCTAAAATTAAATAATTTTTGTTTTGTTTTTGTTTTTTTTTTTTTTTATACATACATATATGTGTGTGCGTGTGTGTGTGTGTGTGTGCGCGCGCGTTTTTTTTTTTTGTAACGACTATATACTTATTCAATATTAAATATTATATTTTACCTCACGAGTTGTCTTTGATACCGGCTGATGTTTTGAAAAGCTATCGTTATCCTTCTAGAACCGAATCTTCGACGTTGAAGTTGTGATATGGCATACTGAGCATCTTGAAATGACGGCACTTTGACGCTGGCAACGAGACTACCATCAGATAAACAAAAAACTGAGACAGAAAGAACCTGAAATAAATAAATCGGAAAATGTATAAAAGGAAACTCTTTTCAGGTTTAAAAAAAAAAAAAAAAAATATTTATCCCGTATTTTATACCTCAACGTGCATTTTAAAGCTATTTGTCAACATTGTTTTAGCGGAAATCAAATCCATGTGAGGATCGAGTCCGCTCACATGTAAATATACTGGACTAGAACATTCCGGCTTTTGTACGGGTTCGAAACATTGTTCGTTTGATATAAAACTATCGCAACCTTCATCACTGTAACCAGACCTACTCGTGTTGCTAAAATTGAGATTATTATTACCTGGAAACAATCAATAAATAAATAAATAAATAAATAATATGCTCGTCATTGATTTTTTCTCCCCACTAAAATTATATTTACCTCCGTGTGTTCCGCGAATTAAACGACCACCACCGAAATTACCACCGTTACCACCGCTTCCTCCACCACTTCCGTTTCCTCTATTTATTAAATGATTCGACAACGACGACGACGACGACGACGACGACGACATTTGATCTTGAACATTCGACGAAACATTTCTTTGTCCATATGAGGACGAATTTTGTGTTAACATTTGTAATTGATGAGCTTGAGCCAAATATAATTGTTGATTGTTATCATATGAATAAAACCCGTTTTCCCCATTTGGAGTCGAAGAATTAAAAACCGCATTGTTCAATCTGCGAAATAAATAAATAAATAAATAAATAAATTTATTATTAATTATAATTATATAATTTAAACAATAAGAAAAATCAATGGATTCACCTTGAATTTAATCCATCACCGTGATTATTTAAATTATTATTATTAAACTTTCTATTATCCGTTCCATTTTTTTTGACACTACTACTACTATTACTACTACTACTACTACCACCATTTATCATCGATCCATCATCTAAATTATTATTATTATTATTATTATTATTCATGTAAGATTTTTGAAGTGCGTGCGATGTAGGATTTTGTATGACTTTTAAATTTTCAATATTTGGAACTTTTGGAAAAGTAAAATTACTAATGTTATTTGAAAAAAATGGAACCATGTTTTTGGTTAACTGTTGATGAAACGATGGATCGATGTTTTGCGAGTGAGCCAAATTATTTTCATTATTTCCATAGGGTTTGTACGAATGTATGTCATTGAAATGAAAACCGTTATCTTCTTTTTGCTGTTTCCGGATTAGAGCACCACATCCGTTCATCATTTCCGAATTTTTTTTTCCATGATTTTTTTTATTACGGCGAACGTGCCAATTCCAATCCTCCATTTGCATCGGATCGCTTACAATTATTTTATTACCAAAAACATTTTCCCCGTCCATTCGCTTTTTTCCTTTGGAAAAAACAAAAAAAAAAAAAAAAAAAAAAAAACGTTAATTCATTTTAAAACATTTTTCTTTTTGAACAAATTTTGTAAATTACCTGTAATCAAGCGTGAAAATTTAAATTAATATTTATATATATATATATATACTTATTGATTCTATAAATATTTACAAAAGCTCAACCATTCAAATAATTTATATTTTAAAAAAAAAAAAAATTATTAATAATAATAAATAATAAATAATTAACAATAAATGAACACAAAAATGTCAGAATAATAAAAGCAAAAGTAGAAAAATAAATTGAACTTGACACCCCGAATCCTTGTGACGGAAAGATATGAATTTTCACATTTACAATAATTCAGAAACGGAAATGAATAATAAAATCCTATATTTACCTTATGTAAATAATAATTTACTTATGAATAATTTCCGTTAAAAAAAAAAAAAAAAAACCGTTTCAACTGTACCGTGCAAGTTTTCGACAGGTTTATAAGAATTTATACCTGTTTGAAAAATATATTTATTTTTCCTTATTGAAATCAATAAGAAAAAGTAATTATTATTATTTCATAGTACCTGACTCATACCATTACAATAAATATTAATATTGAAAAATAAATAATTAATTAATTACCTTGCAGCAAATTCGATTGTGGGAAATTTAATTGAACATAAAGTTTTGGTGATGAATCCAACCCTTCCCCCGCTATTCTCACAAAGTTGTTTTAAACGACATTTTACTTTTGCAGGCTCTTTGTCTTCTGGTAAATTTGATACAATTACTTCATATAAAGTATTATCATTCTGAAAAATTAATCACATTCATTATTAGGTTTAATCGAAAAACAAATGTTTAATTAAATCCTTTTCATACCTGTACTATTTCTCTCATTGGTATTTTTTCAACCAAATCAGCAAAACTATAATGTTCACTTGCACATAAAACTAAAGCTTTCGATACATTCGAATGATGAACTAGTATAACGTGGATTTTTTTCCTATGTCTTAAATCATTCAAATCACCAGCAAAATTAACATCACCTATCATGTTTAATTAATGTTAATTTTCAAAAAAAAAAAAAAAAAAAATTAAATGTAGAATCAAAATTAATTTCCCCCCGATAAATAAATTTTACTCACCTGAAATAAGAATAATTGCTGCGGGAGCAGAGTGAGTGTCAGCAAACCTTCGAATGCTTTGTCTTAGTTTTTCATCGGCAGCATTTTTACAAGTGGCAGCAACATGTATTAAATTAACTTGAGCATCATTTAATTCTTGAATAATTCTACTTTTCTCTTTTGTCACATCGCAAACTACAATAAAATCAGCTTCTCTATAACCAACAAAAAACCTATCTCTGATTGCCTAAAAAAAAAAAAAAAAAAAATAATTTATGTTTATATTATTATGAAATAAATAAAAATTACATTTTTATTTAAGTTTTTAATGTTAAAAATTATTTTTTAAAAAATCACCTGGGCAACTGCTGTGGCTGATTTACCCTTAGGAACATGACAGTTTTCTATATCCCAAAAAACGCCAATCGGTGGAAGTAATTTTCTAATATCCATTGGTTTCTTCCTAATAATTGTTATGTTTTCATCATCGGAAGTAGAATCATAATCTGGAATATTGACAGTAAAAATATAATTTTAAAATAATAAGTAAATAAATTGCATCAAATTTAAATTTTTCCAAATATAATGTTTATCGGAGATTAAATTTTTTAAATTATCATCTATATATCAAAATATATAGTTTAGTAAAATTTGTGCCACAAAAATTTGTACTGATATAGTAAGTTAATATAATTAAATTGTTTAGAATATAAGAGTCAGCGGTATATCAGAAATTAAAAAACAAAAAAAATTTCATTAAATAAATTAAAACATTATTGTAAACATACCTGATACACCAGAACATATTGAATCAGATCTAAAATATGTTAAAGTTTTTGTTGAAGGAATTAAATGAATTGGAGGCTTTGGAAACAATGGTAACCCATTTTTGCTTTCATAACAATTAAAACAATTTAAATCTACAATTCTTGTGTGATACATCTTTACAGATAATAAAACTGTCTAAATATTACAAATTGATCCTTAAAATTACATTAAAATACCAAAGACTTATCACCTCATCCAAAATTTAAAGTACCATTTATGTCTTTTCTGAACAGAAAGAGAAAAAAAAAAAAAAAAAAAAAAAAAACAAAAATTAGGCAACAAAAAAAAAAAAAAATATGACGTATTTTTATTTAATAAAAAAAAAAAAACCATTTTAAACTAAATTATTTAAAAAAATTTTTAATATTTTATTAAATAAAATACAACATTTTTATTTTTCATTTCTATATATATATAAAAATACCTTAAATAGAACAATTAAATGACACAAAAAAGAAATTTTAAAAAAAACCAACAATCCTTGTTTACAAACAAGGTAGATTTTTTTTATATTTTTTTATTACGATTTCACCTATTACCCTAAATTAATTATTATTATTATTTTTCTCTCATTTTTAAAATACCTGAGTGTATTATAAAAACAAAGTACTAAAATCCAATACATCTGAGTATTACTTTGAGGTAAAGCAATACAAGTCATACCACAGTAAATGACATTTAAAATATTAAAACAATGAAATACTAAACGTTCGACTTGATATTTTTTTATCAATCACCCATGGTTTTTGAAACAATTGTCGCAATTATTTGAATAAAAAAACAAAGTTGCGACAAATTTTTTTACCAACTATTAAATTAAATAATTGCGCGCTATTTTACATTAACAATACACATATATATATATATAGACTTTTTCGAAATTTCTTTGTTAATATTTTTATTAAGCGTAAAAAATGATAATAATATATATAATGAATAATTTAATCTTTTAAATGATTAATTATAATTAAATTATTATTATTATTATTAATTAAGGCTTGATCGGATAGTAAATTTACCTACGAAGCTGCATTGAAGAGTTTTTTAAATGATTAAAATTAATAAATTTTTTTTTGTCAACAGTCTTACAATTCCTTAAATTTTAATTATTTATTTCAATAATAAAAACGTTACAAATTACAAATAGTAATAACTGAAAGATCTTTACTTGATTTGAAAATAATGTCGACCGGAAACGGTTTAAATTCATATCCGTTTTTTAAACATCGTATTGTTTTCAGTTTCACTGAATAATACATCAGTAAAATTGCACGTTGTGTAAAAACATAATTTATTAAAATTTAATTTTTTTTTTTTAATTGAAACAAACATGCCCAGAGGTTTGAATTTTTTTTTTAAAATAAAATTTGTACATTTTTTACAACATTAATCATTAGTTGACACAATAGTATGCAATAAATTATATATTCATATATACATTGTAAATTTTAGGAAAATGGACCAATCATAAGGGAAAAAATCGAAGTTTTACAGACCCCGAAGATTTGGAAGAAGAAAGACGCAGAGAAGAAGAGGAAAAAGCCAAAGGTCGTAGAAATGTAAGTTAACACATATCGTAAATAAAGAACAATTATTTTTCATTGTTTACTAATAAAAAATATTTTTTTCCTTTGTATCATTCATAACAGTTTTGTATTATAAAATTTTAAACCCAGTAGTATTTGTTGTTGTTGTTGTTTTTTTTTTTTATTAATCTAACTCCTGAATAATAATTAAAAGTTTTAATTTTTGTTTTAACAGAAAGAAGATGATTCATCTGAGGAAGATAAACCGAGTAAAGATAGAGTAGGTAGTTCTGATTCTGACTCAGAAACTGAATCCGATGTCGAAGTTGAAGTAAGTAAAAATGTTATTAGAAAGCTGTCAGTGGATGTACATTTAATAAAATGCAATATTAATAATTGTTGATTTTTTTTGTTAGTCGAAAGGAAAAGGAGTGGAGAAATTAATAGAAATATCTAATCCAAATCGAGTACAAAAAAAAACTAAAAAACTATCTACTTTAAATGAAACCTTAGCTGCCTCAGCTTCAAAACCTGAATTATCGAGAAAAGAAAAAGAACAGATAGAAAAACAAGCTGCATATGCTAAATATCAAAAATTACATGCAGAAGGTAAAACCGAGCAAGCAAGAGCTGATTTAGCTAGACTTGCAATAATTAAAGCTCAAAGAGAAGAAGCTGCTAATAAAAGAAAATTAGAAAAACTTCGTAAGTTTATTATTATTATTATTATTATTATTTTTTATTCCCCTTTTTCTTTGAATGCTTATTCCCCAAAATAATAATTTTTTTCCATGTGTGTAGAAAAAGAAGAGCAAATGAAATCGAAACAAGAGGCCATAGGGAAAGCATTGGGTAAAAAAGTTTAAACAAGGGAAAAAGAATGTTAAGTTTGTCTGAATTATTTTCAAAATGAATGATGATGATGATGTATAAATAAATATTTATGTAATGATAATAATAATAATAATAATTATTTCATCTATTTAAAAAAAAATAAAATCATTCATTATGTTTTTTTTTTTTTTTTTTTTTTTTTTTTTTAAAAAAAAAAACC